CTCCATCTAGTCTAGCCTTTTTCTTCCTCTCTTTTTTTCTTTGATCCATTCACATCCCTCACATTCCACTATCCGCTCTCGCTCGCTTTCTTTTTATGTCTCTCATTCACACCCACTGCTGTCCTTCCCCCCTCGCTGGGCGACTGTACTAAAGGTCAGTGTTTATTAGTTTGGCTGGAAGCAGCATAACTGCAGCCGCACAACCTGCTGCAGCAGAAACTGCTCGGCTTTCACTGTCACTTCTGCCCCATTGAATCAATGCTATCTGGCTCTCTGATAAAATCAAATACCAACAGCCTTACAAAAGAACATTGTTAAAAAGTATCATTTAATGCCATAATTCAGTCACCCGTCTGTCAATACATCTGTCACATGACAGCTCTCTGCAAGTCTGTGGCCCTACTCACTTCGCCTATACATTTTTCTCATACTTGTTGCTGTTCATTGTATCTCTAAAGCCATTTTTGAAGCCATGACGACATCTTGTATTTCTACACTCCCTAAACTTGCTCAAAAGCACTCAAAGCATTTTCTCTTTCTTCACTCTATGCTGGTGAGGAATATGAAAAATGTGTCCTGTGGTTTTCCGTCTCTCTTTATCACCAAAGCTGTTTTTCATGCATTAACTCCAAACAATGTGACGAAAATCAGGTTAGGACGCTGTGAAAGGTTGTACACTACATCAGATAGTGTGTTTTGAGTTTTAAAAAGTGGGTGCTGTGTGCACTAAGAATACAAAAGGAAGTTCACAATACACCCATACACTTTTTACGAATTCATCAACTCTTCCCTACATTATTCTCATATTAACACTGTCAGACATCTTGCAGACTCTTTAAACAGACTCCAATCACACAAGCCTAGAGACCAGTCGGAGACTGAATGAGTTGGCGGGTGGTTGCTGAAAGTTAACTGCTGTCGTTACATGAAACTGGTCACAAAGAGGTATATGGTGGTCCACCCAAAAAAAACCGAAAACCGAAAAAAACTAACATTTTTGTGATTTGTTTGGTCGCTATCAGACTGTCAGGGTTGCCTGTATTGTCCATTGAAGACACTGATATGATGGTTGGCCACAAAAGGTACAATTAACAAAATGGCAAACCAATACAGATTATGAACTTGAACAAAATATAAAATCTGGCCTTAGAACAACTGCTAAGCATTTGGACGAAAAGTGATTAGCAGAATGATAAACAGATGTGTCTTAAAGGGAAAAGAAAACAGGCGAATGTTGCCTTTCGGTACACATTAACAGGCTATACAGTGGGAACATTAGCACAGTCTCCAGCTGAAGGAGCATCTCCCGGCTCTGTACCTGTTGAGCAATCAAAGCAGGAAATAAACTAAATCTCTACAACTGCAAAACACAGACCACAAACTCAACCCCCCAGTGGGGAATAAGCTAAGCCACAGATGACTTAACCACCAGAGAAACACATGGCACACATTTCCCCTTGCAATAGTTGAATGCAGTCCAATTCACAAGCCATCCATGCAGAAGACAAACAAACAATCCAGGCAACCAAGATGTCAACAACTTGTCAGCCAGGTCATTCATTCTAAAGTTTGCTTTTAAAAGATCAACGCTTCACATCAAATGCAAATTTACATATGGATGCTTTACACACACTCTGGATTTAACCTTGTAAGAATGTACATAGTGATGATGCAGATAAGCTGAGAGACTCAGCATCAGGTATAGTTAAATGAAGACATGCATTTGAAGCTAAAATCCTAAAATATGAATAATATAAAGAAACTATTTCTAGGCACTTTAGGTATTTAGACTGTGATCTTTCAACAACACTTTCAGGAAGTTGTCATTCAGAAGTACAACAGTGACCCAAAGCACACAGCAGGGTCATAAGGACATCCTCAAGATAAGAACAAGACCTTCTGCAACAGATGGCATGGCCCCCACAGAGCCCTGATCTTCACATCATCATTCAGGGATTACACGTGGAAACACTGAGACAGTCTTAATCTACAAGTCACTACACTTAACATGTTGTTAGCCAATTAATATAAACGAATGATAACATTAATTTGTTAAGCATCATAACCATTTTCATTCAACTTTCAGCAAAGCAGCACAAGTTGCAAGGTACAGTAATGGCACGTCAAGTACCAGTAGAGCTGGGCGATATGAGATTTTTTCATATCACGATATGTTTTTTTCATTTCAGGCGATAACGATATCTATCACGATATAAGCCAAATAACTATATTTGTAAGATTTAAATGTGCCGTTGCTCACAAGTAAAATGTGAAATAATCAGCAGCTTGTTTTTATTTAAATATTTACCATAATAAGTTCAACAGGGTAGATGTACTTAAGGAACATGAGACTTTTTCAGATAAATAAAGGCAAATATTGCAAACTACACAAAAGGCAGCCGCTAAAGCGTTTAAGTTTCAAAATAGAACAAACAAAACAGACTAAATTGTCAATTCCACTTAGAAACAAAATATTAATTCTAAAAATAAATCTTAGTTTGTTTTACAGAAGAACAGACAAAACTGACTAACTTTTGTCAATATCAAATAAACTGAGAACTAAAAGGAAATTCTCAATCTCTCCTTGTTGTATAGCTTAGCTTTTCAAACAGTTGTAACAGTTACTTTAGTCTGACAAAAGCCGAATGACGAATTAGCGCTTCCAGTCAGAGACTGAGGCTACGTCCGCACGTACACGGGTATTTTTGAAAACTGAGATTTTCCGTTTTCGTTTTAAAAACTAATCCCGTCCACACATAAAGGCAGAAATGAAGGAAAACGCTGCTATGAACATGCCAAAGCAGCAGGTGGCGCTAGATTCCTAACCGTGCAGAAATGTTGGCCAATCAGAAGTCTAGAAGCCTCGGTGGGAAAAAGTAAACAAAGCTGGGGCGTAGAAGCAGAACCGAGTCGTATGTGTGGAGGGACAGTAACTGTGTGTATATGTAAGCATTTAAACACTGCAGAGAGTAGAATTAACAGTAACAGTATTGTAGAAATTCATTTCACCGAAACAATAACGTGGCGCACAGTGTGACGCATGCACCAGTTTATTGTATTTCCAGACTTGCTTTCGGCACAATTTACAGTGCACGCTACTCTGTTTTTTGTCAGACTTGAAATAGCCAAAATACCTTCACACTACGGAACTTCTATGGCTCTTCTGTTCGACAATCTCTCCGGCATTGGAACCATCATCTGTTTTCTCTTCGGTCACGCTCGGTTGATTTTTCTAGTCGGCACACTCATTTCCTCCATTACGCGCTGGCTCCATTACCCGCCGGCTGCTTCCCAAACAAACACACGTGCGGCTTGGCACTTGTGCTGTACGTAACAAGTCACGCGACGTGACGCTGCGGCTGTGATTGGTTCAGCTCTGCGCTACTTAATTTGAATTGGCTGACCTTTTTTTTTTTTTTTTTTAAGAGGACAAGAGCGGCGAGGTCTATCGCGATAGCTTAATTTCTCTATCGAGTAAAAGTTATATCGCGATACATATCGTTATCGTTCTATCGCCCAGCTCTAAGTACCAGTTGAGTCCTGCAAAAGTGTGTCACTATCATAACAAAACTCACACATTACGCAAAATGTCATGAAATTTCCTTCATGAGAGCCCTAGATAACAAAGGGCTATAGTACACATTCGTTGTGATCGCCTGATGGCTTAGATGATATGGAGTTTTTGTTTAGGTTCCTGCAAGAGTAACGGTGATAACACTGCTGCAACAGACGCCAAGCCACACCCATTTGATATCTCACAGCTGGAAAATTGCCACAAGATAACTTTATCAAAGCCCTGCATTATTTTATGACATCAGAATTTCCTCCTGAGTTTACATCCGACTTCATTTTAAAGCTCAATTTTTGCCTACAACACAAAGTGGTGAAAATGTGGTGCTTGTTTAGGTCGCACAACAAATAAATGTGCTTAATAAAGAACCCAGGCAAGAATTTTAATGTGCTAAATGTATACAAGTTAATAATACTTGTGTGTAAGACTGTAATACATTCCAAGCATCTCAAGTTATTGTTGAATTTAAAACCAAAGGTGACATGTGCTATTTGTTATTTTCACTGGGGAATTACCCTTTACCGGGAAATCTACCATCATACGTACGTCATAGTCGCACACCTGTCTGAAATCCTACACCGTAACTTGATTTGCACCACCCTAGAAATGCAAGTACACACCGTGCTGACGTAGCCCGCAACAACTGTGATTGGCCTGTTCAGGACCCTTGATTCTTCCTGCGTATTTCCGGCTACTTTAGGTCACAAAGGAATGAACAAAGAAGTAGAAAAATAAGTTTTTTTCTTTTTCTTCAGAAAAAAGAAAAAGAGGAAGAATAAAAAAAAAAAAAAAAAAAAAAAAAAAAGAAAGAACCTGACCACAAAAAAGTGGGGATCCATGAGGGAAACAAGTCCCAGTGTTTTGTTTCCATTGGCTGGCACCGCATATAAAACAGTGGGAAAACACCACATAATAATGAACACTAATTGCACCAGCACAAGCATAAATGGAGTCAACAGCTTATCGTTCATTCCATCTTTTCAACAACAGTGGAGAGTATGAGATAGGTCAGACCTGGGCATGGTATGGCCTGTGAGCAACATCCGGCGCATTGATTGTACCAGACCATA